AATTTGCAACTTGTACACTGTGATGTAGAAACTTGAAGTTACCAGTATATGGACTTCACAGTGAAGAACATATCAGACACACATTACTGTTTAAAGATAAATATATCTTTAAACAAATCTGAAACTGGTATCTTTAATATTCCTTCTTGTTTTTCACCAGTGATATCTGTCCGGCCTGACCTGTCGAGCACAATCTTAAGAAAAATATTTGTTGTTACAACCTTTGACCAGATGATGGAGACAAAGTAGAAGTTTGTATTCAATTTCTACTTTTACCTTTAGTCTCACTGAAGTCTGGTTACTCATGAGGGGAATGTTTGGATTTACCTAGGAGGCATTAGAGGCTCCGAAAATCTCTTCCTATCACAACTCCGAAAGGTGTTTTGTTAGGGGAATTCTTTACCTTAGTCCTATTAACTGTTGTACTTCATCTTTAACTGGAGTAATACATTTACTAATTTAGTTTATTTTGGATGTTTTAATGTTTGTGGGTGAAACAGCAACTAGTATTTTAAATAATATGTCTGAATACATGTTACATGTTCCTTTAAGAGTGGGCTGACAGCCTGCATGTGAAGCACAGATGTGAGAGAAACACAGAGCTCTCACTTCGTGACCGATTCCTGCTGCAGCTCAAGAGTGGTGGTGGAGGAAATGTAGACCACAGTCTCAGAAACAGAAATCAGAAACAAAATAATAAGAAATATATGAATGTTAACACCTGACTCTCAGTCTCTAGTCCATCAGAGGGATATAAACCCCTCTCATTGCTAAGAGACCACAATATACACAAGAGAAACAGGCAAAATCTGCAAAGAAATCTGAATTCTGGTCCTTCTTGTAGTTTTTTGATAACAATGTGTACCACTAACCGGATGTGCCACAAGCTACATTCACTTTACTCGGTGTCTGTGTCATTCCCGCTGAAAGAACAGATGTCACACTTTGTTAACTTGTAGCCGGCCGCCAAAACCCCGCCGTGACAGGAGCTGAGATTGACAGGTAGGCGCACTCACTGGAAGCACAATAGACTTTTATTCATTCATTCCGGTCAGCTCTGCAGTTATAGGGCAGCTAGAACAGAGGATGCTGATGTGGTTCAGCCACTTGACAGAGTCCCTTAATGTGTACTCAGTGTAAGTGTCTGTGAATCACCTGCTGCTAAAGTTTGGCACACACTTTCCACGGAACAGCCTGAGATGCTGACAGTTACTGACTGCATTAATACAGTTCAACATAAGAAAACATTACATTTGAATTGAATTTGTTTTCCTCTATCAAGCATTGTCTGTAGAAAAACAGCGCAGGTGTCCTGACTTGTGACCTGTAATGTGAGTGTTTGGTGCAGGGAATGGCGCTTTAAAGCATTTTAACATCATACATCATATCGTTTTTATCTAAACTTTGCATATAACGCTATACCCTGCATCCTGCTGTCCTTTCATTGTTCTGTTCTTGGTATTAAAATGATATGTCTTGCTGGATTCAGTGGGTCCGACATTTAGGCTACATGCCTGAATAAAAGGGCTGGGAGAGACACAGCTTTCCAGTCACACATGTTTACTCACTGCCTGTAAGCAGTGTTTAATGTTTCCTTTATACAAGCTGTAGAGGAGGAGAACTGAATGGTGAAGGAGACATTCATATTAAAATAGCCCTCCCCCTTTTGCTGACTGAGTACAAGATGTTAAAAGTTAAAGGTACACTGGGTAATTTTCAGGAAATCCTTGTTATTACTGACACCGGTGGCCGTTAAGTGAACTGCAGTCAGGATCCTGTTGCCTGTGCACATGATAAGATGTCCCTTTATTGATCCCCCTTAGGAGAAATTCAAAATTGAAGTGGAGGTACAACAAGATATCACAAAGTAAAATATTACAAAATATAATAGAAAATATAAGACTATAAATTAGTATATACACTATACAATTTTCAAGTAGGAATGGTGTGCAAATATTTGAGCAGCTTGACAAAAACTAAACTGTACATGTAGAAATTAAATATAGATAGTTGTGCAAAAAGTTTGCACGTTGTAGGTTGGAGTTTAAACTAGTCTTGGTCTGCGGGGGTTGGTGGTACTAGGTGCTGTGGCGTTGTGGAGTCTGATGGCAGATGCTACAAACAAGCCTCCAAACCGCTTTGAGGCTCAGGGCTGGGTCAGTCTGTGGCTGAACGTGCTCCTGAGCTGCCTGAGCTCAGTGTAGAGAGGATGAGAGGGGTTGTCCATGATGGCTTTCAGCTTCCCCTTCATCCTCTTCTCAGTCACAGCCTCCACACTGTCCAGCTCCATCCCCACCACCGAGCTGGCCTTCCTCACCATCTTGCTCAGCTTGTTGGCACCCCTAGTCCCAATGCCTCCTCCCCAACAGACCACTGCAAAGAAGATGACACTGGCCACTACAGACTGGTAGAACATCCGTAGTAGCCAAGTGCACACGCTGAAGGACCTGAGCCTCCTCAGAAAGTACAGCCTGCTCTGTCCTTTCCTGTAGAGGGCCTCAGTGTGGTCCGTCCAATCCAGTTTATTTTTAGGTGCCACCCCCAGGAACTTGTAGGTGTCCACCATTTCTACCTTCTCTCCCCTAATCGCAACTGGGGAGGGGGTCCTCTTGCTGCGCCGGAAGTCCACCACCAGCTCTTTGGTTTTCCCTTTCTTTAGCTGTAGGTGGTTTCTGTCACACCATCCAATGAAGTTCTGGATCAGGTCTCTGTACTCCTCCTCCCTATCATCTGTGATACATCCGACAATGGAGGAGTCATCAGGGAACTTCTGTAGGTGGCACGCTCCAGAGTTGGAACAGAATTCAGAGGTGTAGAGGGTGAACAGGAACGGTGACTGTACAGTTCCTTGAGGTGTGCCAGTGCTGCTCGTCTCCACGTCTGACAAGCAGCTGTGCAGTCTGACATACTGTGGTCTTTCAGTGAGATAGTCTGTAATCCAGGCCACAAGGTCCTGATCCACCTTGTCAAGTAAGTTGATATCACTGAGCCGCTAAAACCACTTTGGAAAGCAAAGGACTTTCCATCGAGTAACGGAGAAAGATAACAACGGAGCATTAGGGACTCTCCATCTGAATAACGCAATGCACAGAGATTATAATAACCAAAAGCTGTATAATGATTGAAGTTGTCAAAATGAAATATGTAACAATGAAAGGAAACATGATTATATGATTGTAACTGATTATTTGATAATTAATAAGTATAAATGCATAATAGTAAGATAGAACTATGGAAAGTAAGGTCAAGAGAGCAAATCATGTCAAGTCAAGTCAAGTGTTGAGTAACAAAAGGCATGTATTGCAACCGGACATGCCTGGTGCTGAGAGAAAAGAGAAGTTGGAGCACACACACAGGACACATCTTGTGAGGAGCAAAAGAGGAAGTACTAGATACAAACCAAACAACACCCTAGGAGACAAGGGAGATAAAAGGTGCTGCACAAGGAGGATCGGGGTTAGTCCTCGGCTGGCTCCCGGGTTCAAGACTTGCTGAACGATCGACCACATCGGAGCAACGCATCTTTGAACTTAACTAACTAACTAAAGAGACGGAGCAAATGAACAAGCCTAACATTGCAGAAAGAGAAGTCCAACAACCTAAAGCCGAAACGAGAGTGTCAAGCAGAGGAGGATTAACCATTTCCACCCGGCTTTAGGATTCCAATTGATCTCCAAGGATCACTCTTTTGTTCACCCTGCCATCAGAGACTGCACTGGTCAGAGACTTTGCGGACTTCGGACAAAGTCGGAAGTTTCAACAGAAACCAACAGTACGGCAGGCAAAGGATGGACTGAATTGGTCGTACACCCGAAGGGGTCTTCCCTCTCTCTCTTCAAACTGGACATTCAACCATTCAGCTACAGCCTTTTCACCAGGGTTTGGAATTTAATAAATAAATATACGTAATAAAATAACAACTGAAGTTGAAGAGTAAATTGTGGACATTAGATTTATGATATATCAACAGGCAATAATTATTAGGTAGTGTGTTTAACATCTTGAAGGTTCTAACAGGTTACTCTAGCCAAAGAAATTAAACAGACCCTTGGGGCTTACTGTCCAAGCCGCTAAAAATAATCCTAGCAACTACAAAGTGCACAGATCAATAAGAGGAGAGCTGCCATGAACGGACATGACTAGTATGGTATTTGACCCTAGGGCTAGTCGGTCAGGTGCTGCACTAGAGTGAGCAGGGTAGGCGTTCGGATGAAGGCAGTTAGAAGCTAGGCGTGTCTCCTTGCCACCAGCTTAAACAGTCCTTTTCTGAACCTGGCAGAGTTAAACGGAGAGCTGGTCCAGTACCACCTATACAGGGGTGACTCATGATCTAACACGTGGCGCCCAACGTGGGGCTCGAAACGCTGCTGAAAGTAGGACTTTGTGTTATTTTATCATGCATGGATGAGTTGCTGGTCATTGATCATTGGGAGGCATCTCCTGGACCACCACACATGTCCCCAGTGATGCCTGCAGCAACAGAACAAGATGTGTTGACTTTTGTTTGGAACCTCACAATCTAAAACAGACAGTTGGTCCACACTTGGACTGTATAGAATGACGGGGGTCCTCTGTTGAATGGTATGGAACGACACTTAACTTGTTAAGTTGTTGTTTTATACATTTCTCCAGCTTAACTCTCTATTAAAAGGCTATATACAGTAAAATACTCATAACACATGTTCTATAACCACAATTAGAAAGCAGTACAAAAAAGCAGAATTACATTGAGCCAAAGTTTATGGGTCTGTGGCAAGTGTGACCTCTGATCATAGCTTTAACAATGTTAATAAATCTTTTAGTAACGCCTTTTTGTAATAAAGTATGGCTTTATTAAAAAGGCGTACCCAAACTTGTATTGCTGCTGTTGGAACATTTAAGGATAATTGTTAATAGACTCGCATCCATAATTATGGCAAGTCATGTACAAAAACAGTGACTTCCAATCACAAACATTGTTAAACCATATTTTCTACTCATACCTGTGTTGTTCATTACAGTTTAATGGGGAGCCACACTCCTACACACGTTTCAACTTGACCCAGAACATGGAAGGTGATAACAGCCAGGTGGAGATGAAGCTGTCGTCTGACATGGATGAGGAAGTTGGGGGAAATGGCGTTGGAGATCACCTCAATCACAGCTCCAACCGCAAACCCCATGTGGCTCAGAAGCTTGGATGCACACCCAAGAACCTGTGCATCTTGGCAGCTGCCACCCTCCTCATCTTTATTATTGGTAAGACGGGGAGTGTCGAATGGAGCAGCTGACTTTCTATCAAGTTTGCATCACTTACTTGCATAACTTCCTAAAGGTTCCTCAGGGATCAATCTCAGGGACACTACTGTTTATTCACCATTGACATTATCAGGAGGCATTGTCTTTCCCCACCTGCACATGACATGCAACTTTTGACTGTGGACCAGTACGTGCTAATTTTTTGTTTTGTGTTTTAGATATGACTAATTGGATATCCTAACATGTTTTGCTACTCAACAGAATAAATTAAACATAAGTTACAGTTTCTGACTGTCTTAAAGAGGAACTGAATTCTTTGGAAGTTCTATTAACCAAGAAACAAGGAAGAAACCGCTTGTCTTGGCCCCACTTGGCCTCGTGGGTTATGTGGGGATTTATCACCAAATCTGCTTATTGTCATTGGAATCCATAGCTCAAGTGTGACCACAGAGACTAATGCAAGCTTTTGTAATCAGGCTAGAAAATAGCAATCTACTGGATGAGAGTTGAAGAAGTTTCTTGGGCGGTGTGGGGTATACATACTGTACAGTATAGTCATGGTCTCCTAGTGGTATAGTGTTTCAAAAGGCTGACTGTGGTTTTGGCTGTAACATGATGCCTTTAGTCTGTCCTTGGATTGTTCCTCTCTGTCCATGGTTGTACCTCATTTCAAACCACTGCTACTTTCAGGCTACTTGATTGGCTATCTGGTGCATCAGAAAAAGGAATTGGCTCAAAGCTGTGCAGCCTCCGTGCTTCCTTTGGAAGAACCTGTTCCTCACGAGACAGGTGCTGCTCCCCTCATGGACTGGGACGATGTGAAAAAGCTCTTCGCTCAAAAACTCACTGTAGCCAACTTTGAATCTGTCTTCAGGTAAATATAATATCCACACAATGCCTGTGGAACCTGCTGTGAGGCAGTGTTGGTATTCTTCCAGAAGTACTAATCTTGGAAAAGTTTTTATTTGTATTACAATTTAAAGTAAATTATTGTTTCCTGTTTGTTTGCTTGCCTACCTCTTCCTTCCCCCTCATGTTATATTTCCCCCTATCCTAGTGAGTTTTCCAGTGACGAACACCGGGCTGGTTCTCCAGGTGATGATGCTCTGGGGAACAAGGTGCTCAAGAAGTTTAACAAGTACGGCATGAACACATGGACCAATGAGTACTTTGTTAAAGTTCAAGACCCCCCTGCTTCCGGCTCCAACAGAGTTGTTTTCAAGAATGGAAGTAATACAGAGTATCCAAAAGGACTCCTGTCCTACAGTGCCATAGGAACAGTAACGGTAATCTACAAGCTACATTTTAAGTATAAAACACTCTTTTACTTTTTTTAATGAAGTGGAAAAACATGCAGTACATACTTTTTTTTGTCCAGGGTGCTGTCTTGTATGCGGGTTATGGGCAGGAAATTGACTTCATGTTACTGCAGGACAGGAACATCAACCTGTCTGGCAGGGTGATGCTGGTCAAGGCTGGTAAGATCAGCTTTGCTGAAAAGGTGGGTGGTTCTAGTAAGAATTATAGTTTTTATTACAAAAACCTTTTTTACAAATTCTTTTGTTGGTGTCAATAAAAACTGTAGTGACAATTTTTTTCTTTCTTAAGCCCCTTTCTATGACCTTTTTTCTTACAGGTAGCCAATGCTGCCAAAATGAATGCCTCTGCTGTGTTGATCTATCCTGACCCCGCCGATGACGCTTTCGAAGAAGACACTGAGCTCTATGGACATGTGAGTGTGACAGTTTAGACCAGTGGTTCCTAACCTTTTATTTATTTATTTTTTTTACAAACCATGTCCAATTGACACATTTTATGTATATTTCATGTTATAGTCATTGTATAATAATACAATGAACTACAATGAACCCAAATAGTGAATACCACAACTGTGTGAAAAACTAGTTTTTCATACATGCTTATATCGACACTTTAATAAAAAGCGAGGCTGTTTGAGTGAAGGCTCTGTGAATACAGCTTGTGTTCATGTCTCAAAGTTTAGATCTTAAGTAATAATAATTTAAAAATAACAATTTAATTTAGTTTTCTTCACAGAAACGAGTGAAACGCTGAGATATAGGCCCACTGTGTATATTTCTCAAGTTTTCTTTCACCCCTTTAAAATCAAAACCTCTAGTAGGCATTCAGACCCCCAGGTTGGGAACTAGCCTGCATAGAAGCACAAGGGGAAATGCAAATTTCTGCTGAGGGTTTCGCATTAGTCTGTTAGTGGTGGTGGTAATGCACCCAAAAACGTAGCAATACGTAAGCAAGAGTAAACATGTACATAGTCAATGTTAGCAAACGGTAAGAAAAATGCGTAATTCTGTCAGTCCAGTTGTTAATGAATCTGTTTTGTGAATTGAAGAATAAAGTTTAACATCATTTACCTAATTTCAAATTTAGAAGCTTGAAGGTAAGTATCCAGGCTGCCGGGAAGATGTCAGTCAAATCATAACTGCTCTGCAAACTTGGTCATATCTTCAAATCCAACTTTCCTCTGTCTGCCTCTCACAGGTCCACATGGGTTCAGGGGATCCCTACACCCCAGGCTTCCCCTCCTTCAACTACACCCAGTTTCCCCCTGTCCAGTCTTCTGGCCTGCCAAAAATTTTGGCTCAGACCATCACAGCAGGCATGGCTACCAAAATTCTGAGGTAAGGCTCGTCTACTTTGTGGACCAACTAAAACAAAGCACAGAGATTATGATAAATACAGTACATTGTCTGTATGTCAGTACATTGGATCTGTAGTAGATTCCATAACCTTAATGTTTATTGTCTACATCCCACAGGGAGCTGGGGGGTCAGAATGTGCCACAAGCGTGGGGAGGAATCTACAAACTGGGAGAAGAGAAAGATCTTATTACTGTGGACGTCAACAATGTTCTTACTGAGAAGAAGATACATAATGTCTTCGGGGTCATCAAAGGCTTTGTGGATACAGGTACAATGGGATATTTATTTAACGCGAGGGGTAACTGCAATCAGGTAGTAGTGGAAAAACTTTGTCTTTTTTTAAATGTTTTTTTAAATTTTAGATCGATATCTGGTCATCGGTGCCCAGAGGGACGCTTGGGGTCCAGGTTTTGCTTCATCGACTGTCGGCACCAGTGTCCTTGTTGAGCTGGCACGCTCCATCTCTGACATGGTGAAGAACGGTGAGTCTCAGGTGGCAGCTGATGTCTGGAATGGATGTACACTTCATGTTGGAGTGTGTGTTAAGTCATAACTGAGCATAGTATTTTCTATTTAATGAGACACCTCCAGTTTTGTTAATGCGCATTTATTATCCACTTGACAGATGGATTCAAGCCAAGGCGAAGCATTGTGTTTGCCAGCTGGAGTGCTGGAGAATATGGGAGTGTTGGCGCCACCGAGTGGTTGGAGGTGAGAATCGCACAAGGCATTACCATAACTGCATTTTCAGCAGCTTTTATGCAGTAATACTACTGCTTTTTGTTAGCACTCTGCCTCAATTTTGTTATATTGTTTATTTGGTTATCCAGGGTTATCTCTCTTCTCTGAGCATGAAAGCATTCACCTACATCAACCTGGATGGCGTTGTAGCAGGTATTTACCTCAGGTTTTGACTAAACTCCAGATTAGTCAATTACATATTGAACACCTTCTTATACCTACAACATCACACTATATGGGATTTTCAGAATGACTGAATATAAACCTTCCTTTCCAGGTCGGAACGGATTTAAAGTAGCAGCCAGTCCCTTGCTGTACAGCTTGATCAAGAGCTCTCTAAAGGAGGTAAACCCTCCTTTCAGTGAATCACACTCTGAAGCACATTCTCTACAAACCTACTGTATTGTCAGCATTTAAATGCCATTTGTTTGCAAATGTTAAGGTGTAACGTACATATAGGATACAATTATCTTCTCCTTAGGTGAGGTCTCCAAACAAGGCCCCTTCTCTCTCTTCTGAATTTGCAGGGGGCAACTGGGAAACAAATGTGTAAGTCTGATCAGACTGTTCAGTATTTACACATCACTGAGATCAAAGCTTTTCTCCTCAGTGTCACATCCACAGCTGGAAGGTGTAGGATAGCTCTCATTCTCACGTTTTGCGAATGTTCGCTACCTAATCTTCCTTTTTAAAAACATTTACCTACATTGAGAGAAAGTGCCACTAAAGCACTAAAGTCTTGTATGTGTTTATTTTCCAGATTGGAGCCTCTGAAGTTGGATAATGCTGCATATCCCTTCCTTGCCTTTTCTGGAATACCCTCAGTATCATTTAGATTCACCCCTGGGAAGTCAGTAAGTAAACCTGCTGTACGATACTTAAATAAATCTTTTTGAGCCTATATCCATAATATACATTGAGCCCTTATATCAAAGCTTGATTCATCCCGGGACACATCTTTTCTCACTGTAATTCTCAATTATTGTCTTTCCCTCTCAGGAATACCTGTATTTTGGCACAATGCGGGACACCCGACAGAAACTGAACGGGGTCACGTCCAACTCGGTTCCTCAGGTGGCTGTAATAGCGTCCCAGTTCGCAGGTCACATGGCGCTGAGGCTGGTCCATGATCACCTCCTGCGGATGGACCCAACAAGGTACTACGATATTTTACGTACTCATGTGGGTCAGATCAACACGAAAGTCAAGGCTGTTCAGAGGGTGAGTGTCCTGTTTTTTTTTTCTCTTAATGCCTTTTTAATTGATATCGTCGCTTCTTCTCTAATTACAGCTTTGATTATGTCACCCAAATGTGCCCACTAGATACATATCCATTAGGTTGATTGTTCAGAACACTAAATTATCCCTGTGTATGCCATCTGTGCTTCCAGGTGCAGCCCCAGCTGTTGCCCAAGTCACTGACGGTGCAGTGGTTGATCTCTGCCTCTGGCTCATACAACCGTGCCTCTCGCAGCCTGTTAGCAGACGTCCAGAACAGCGACCTGGACAACATCGAGATGTGCCGCATCATTAATGACCGCATCATGTCGGTAAGACCTCTACACAGGTTGTCCACTGGGTCCAGGTGCACGGCATTATGGTGGCTGTGACAATCGCAAAAAGGACCTATCTAGAGCGAGTGTTGGGTTTGTCCTTTCTGGGCTACAGTAGAAACACAAAGAAACATGAATAGAAGAGGACTTGATCCCTCTGTGGATAGAAACAGCTTATTCTAACTATTCTTATTTTTAGGTGATTTATACACAGAAAACAAACATACCTGTGGATATTATTATATATTGCATTCATAATTGTCTGAAAACTCTTGAATTAACCTATTAAAACCTGCAGAAACCCTGTCTACAACGTGGGGTACAAATTTTAGAGTGCAAAAACAATATTATTGATGCATACAGTATTCTGTGGTTATGCACTCCTGTTCGACTCTTAACAACAATTGTGGAGTTAATTTTCAGTGTATCCGTTATACACATAATGGATACACTGGCCCGCTGCGGCTTCAGAATTTAATGAAACATCTTGAGCTTTCCGATCCATTGAGCTCAAACACAGACACATATTTCACCCATGCAATGAGCCCTTCACAAGATGGAATAAGCACAGTACACCTGAAGTATCCAAAGGCCACCTGTACAGTGTGAGATCACAGACCCAACAGCGCTTCTACTCCATTGTTTTCAATAATCCTGTGTTTCTTTTCTTGTTTCTGTAGGTGGAAAGGAACTTCCTGTCACCCTTTGTGTCTCCCAGAGAGAGTCCTTTCCGCCACATCCTGCTGGGCTCCGGCAGTCACACTCTCCAGGCTCTGTCCAACCACCTCGAAGCCCTCAGGACTACCAACCCTGAGGCAGATGCTGATCTGTTCCGCAACCAGTTTGCCCTGGCGACCTGGACCCTTCAGGGCTGTGCCAACTCACTAGCAGGGGATATCTGGTCTTTGGATAATGAAATATAAAAAGTAATTTCCTCCCTCCTCCCTTGTTCATGGTTTGGCCCTCTTAGTGCAGCTGGCAGTGTGAAAACCAGTAGGCTGTGATTATTAACAGTCACAGATGCAGTTTTTTTTTTCTTAAATTAACATAGCTGATTGAGGAAGTGATAAAAGTGGAGCTGTTTCAAAATACCAACATTTAGTAATCAACTCTGTTCCATAATTTTCAAAATTTCAATAAGCTGCCTCATCTCCCTTCTTTCTAAAATTCTCCATAAAGTCAAATATTCATGATAAATTGTACTTAAACCTTCAGCCTTAACAAAAAGAATGTTTAGAAGGTCATTGTCAATAATGTATAATTATCGGGAGCAGTGCCTTCCATAATTATGACTACTGTCGAATTGACAAAAGCAGCATCTGCTAAAAGAAGTGTACATGTTGACCGATGGCCAGTACTGAACACAGAACAATCTGGCACCTCTAAGCAAACCACACAACTGAGGTAATTATTTTTATTTTTGTTTATTTTTATACTTAAACCTTCTACAAGTTGGGTGCCTGGTTAGCTCAGTCAGTAGAGCTGGCGACCCATATACAGAGTTACTGCAGTGGCCTGGGTTCGAGTCTGACCTGTGGCCCTTTGTTGCTTTGTCATCCCCTCTCTCTATCCCCCTTCCCTGTCTATCTTCAGTTGTCTCTGTCCAAATAAAGGCATGAAAAGGCCCAAAAAAAAACTACTAAAGGGGTTTTTAACTCGACTCAATGAAACTATAGCGCTTTTGTCCACAGGGGCCACCAGAATCACATTAAATGAAAGTTCCTTGTAGCTGCTTTAACTGACACTGGATTGGTCTTTTAGGCAAGGTCATTTCATATATCACACCTTGGAAAATATAAACCGAACACCTCTGTTTGTCAGTACCAGTCCCTTGGTCCATGCACACCTCTCGTCCTCACAACATTATCGGGAGCAGTGTCTTCCATAATGTGAAAAAAGAAGGTAGTTTTTGCCTACCAGTGTGTGTCCGTATCGGAGGCAGTGCCCTCCATATTTCACTGTAGGGGTGGATGTTTTTATTATCGGGAACAGTGTTTCCCATAATGTGTATATATACAGTACATTGCTACACCATGCACTTGTTGTCTGCATCTTTAAAAGCCTTCTATGACGTTTCCATGCTAAAGTAGTTTCCTCTAAGGCCTGAAGCTTCTGCCCACAGATCTAAAGGATAGTGATGAGTTTTATCGTCTGCTCTTCTGAAAACATGTCCCATCTGTCTCCTTACTGAGGTGAAGAAGTTACAGTTCCAGGTTCTTTTTTTTTGTTTTTTTTAGTTTTGTTTAGTGAGCAGTTTGCCTCATTTTAATCAAGCGCTAATAGTGTGTTGTCTTTTCTTTGATTCAGTCAGTGTGAAAGTACATTCTGCTTTCAATTGTGTTCAGAAATTTCCTTGTGCCTTTATTTCATGACTGCGTTTGCTTCTACACACAGTACAGAACTTAAAGAGGTTTTGGAGAATGTATATTTGGCTTGTTTTAGTTTTAGTTTTGACATTTCTGTATCAAGTATCTGTATATAGAATCAAATGTTACTGGGTTAAAGGCCTGTTATGCTCCAACACTGTTAGAAGTTAAAAAGTTACCAGAAGAATGAAAATTGTGAAACACGATTGGACAAAATCAATGTAAATGGGATTTAAGATTTCACAAGGAATGTTGCAGTACTTGAGGTGGACCTCTTTTAGCTAATCTACAAAGTTTGGTCACTCGTTGTTTTCACGTTTTTTTTATATTTTATTTTAACTTTTTAAACTTTTACAAAAAATATACCTACCTGTATCATGATACAGTCAGGAGTATGAATAGAAAACAAAACAAAATAAAAAGAACAAACACACGCACACACACACTCACAAAAAAACAAAACAAACAAGCCCAGATAGATACTGATTCAAATATTCTATTAAGTTTAGTTTTGGAATAATGCAGTCTATGTGTGACTTTAAATTGAATTAACCGATATCTAGAGTTTACAGAACACTTCTGTATACTGGACAGGCCCTCCTCCCATAACTCATCTGACAGTGGAACTCCCAGTTCTTTTGCCCATGCCTCCCTGAGATGACTGGTACTGAGAGCCCTTGTATTTGCAGCCCAGTAATAATGCCTAAAAACAGGGAGGCCGAGACCCCCACTTTTTAAATTCTTCTGCAGATGGGCTTTAGAAATACGAGGGGGTTTATCTGCCCAGACAAATGACAGGACGGCCGAATCCAGTTGTTTAAAAAAAGATAATGGCAAATAAATAGGGAGGTTTTGAAAAAGATACAAGAACCTCGGAAGTGCAACCATTTTAACAGCATTGATGCGGCCGATCATTTTGTTTTCACGTTTTTATTGGGAAAAAACAAATAATGTTACACCTGAGTAGAAGAAGATGAATTTTAGATCAGTAGCCATTTTTAAACGATCTTTCAACCATTCATACATTCCTGGTGTGAGTGATTAACTGATCTGCTGGGCTATAATGGGTCTTTATTATGAGTACACACACAGGTGTAGGAATTGATCTGCAAATTTCTTTCTTTCAAAATTCTGACAACATGGATAAAGAATGTTTTTGGAAATTGTTAAAATAACAATGCTTTTTTTTCTCAAACTGTACACAAGTTTGCTTAGCTTTGTGTTTGTTGCTGCAATAAACAATCACAACACAACTGTTGAGTCATGGTATGATTATTAGTTCACATTATTAGTATCTGCCTGGTCAAGTTTAAACTTCCTTTTGAGTTGCATGACTGTAGGCTGTAAATAGTTTAATACATGTCACTGTCGTGTGTGTATATAAAACTGTATGAAAGGTTAATGAAAAAAACTAATCTCCAGTAATTTAATCATTCTGATAGTCTCTTGGTATGTGCTATAAGCAACTGTCCATGTAGTATTACCTGCAACAAACTAATAGATTCTTGTTAGAATTACATTTAATAGAGCTCCTCAATGAAAACTATTCTGAGATTCTACAACATAATTATTTTAGACAATTATCTGTGTTAAGATGGCTCAGAAAGTAAGCTCCTGGTCCAATTTGGAACTTGTACACTGTGATGTAGAAACTTGAAGTCACCAGTATATGAACTTCACAGTGAAGAACATATCAGACACACATTACTGTTTAAAGATAAATATATCTTTAAACAAATCTGAAACTGGTTTCTTTAATATTCCTTCTTGTTTTTCACCAGTGATATCTGTCCGGCCTGACCTGTCGAGCACAATCTTAAGAAAAATATTTGTTGTTACAACCTTTGACCAGATGATGGAGACAAAGTAGAAGTTTGTATTCAATTTCTACTTTTACCTTTAGTCTCACTGAAGTCTGGTTACTCATGAGGGGAATGTTTGGATTTACCTAGGAGGCATTAGAGGCTCCGAAAATCTCTTCCTATCACAACTCTGAAAGGTGTTTTGTTAGGGGAATTCTTTACCTTAGTCCTATTAACTGTTGTACTTCATCTTTAACTGGAGTAATACATTTACTAATTTAGTTTATTTTGGATGTTTTAATGTTTGTGGGTGAAACAGCAACTACTATTTTAAATAATATGTCTGAATACATGTTACAAACCAAAGCACTAAGCTTGTTTGAAGCTGCGGTCACCATGTGTAGTAATATTGCAAAACTGTGGCATGTTCCTTTAAGAGTGGGCTGACAGCCTGCATGTGAAGCACAGATGTGAGAGAAACACAGAGCTCTCACTTCGTGACCGATTCCTGCTGCAGCTCAAGAGTGGTGGTGGAGGAAATGTAGACCACAGTCTCAGAAACAGAAATCAGAAACAAAATAATAAGAAATATGTGAATGTTAACACCTGACTCTCAGTCTCTAGTCCATCAGAGGGATATAAACCCCTCTCATTGCTAAGAGACCACAATATACACAAGAGAAACAGGCAAAATCTGCAAAGAAATCTGAATTCTGGTCCTTCTTGTAGTTTTGCGATAACAATGTGTACCACTAACCGGATGTGCCACAAGCTACATTCACTTTACTCACACTCATACTATTAATTTGTAAAAGTGATGCTTGCCCAGTTTGGACCTTGATTGTGAAAATATGGGTATGGGATGATTGTTCATTTCTTCTTTTTTTATATTTTATATTTATTTTATATATAATGTACAAAATATTCAAAGTAAGATTTCTTTACCCATTCACTCTTGCAATAAAATACAGAAAACAAGAATACTTTCTGAACATTTTATAATATGTATATATCCATTACACTCAGATAAAAAAAAGCTTCAATTTCAAGCTAATTAAGCCAAGTGTATTATTTTTGCAGACAGGAACATATTATGTCCGGTTTGTCTTCCCGGGAGTGATCCATCTTCAGACGCACAGACGATCTTTGTGCCGTACAAAGACAGCACAGAGCCGACGCCAGCAGCCTCGGAGCTCGAACTGCGGCTGTGTTTTCAGACAGTGCTGCTGTGCAAAGTGAACCATCCAACACGGACTGGTGCAAACTTTACTCGGTGTCGGTGTCAATCCCGCTGAAAGCCCGAACAGATGTCACACTTTGTGAACTTGTAGCGGGTTTGTTGGAGCGCCAAAAACCCGCCGGAAACAGGAGGTGACAGCAAGTGACAGGAGCTGAGATTGACAGGTAGGCGCACTCACTGGAAGCACAATAGACTTTTATTCATTCATTCCGGTCAGCTCTGCAGTTATAGGGCAGCTGGAACAGAGGATGCTGATGTGGTTCAGCCACTTGACAGAGTCCCTTAATGTGTACTCAGTGTAAGTGTCTGTGAATCACCTGCTGCTAAAGTTTGGCACACACTTTCCACGGGACAGCCTGAGATGCTGACAGTTACTGACTGCATTAATACAGTTCAACATAAGAAAACATTACATTTGAATTGAATTTGTTTTCCTCTATCAAGCATTGTCTGTAGAAAAACAGCGCAGGTGTCCTGACTTGTGACCTGTAATGTGAGTGTTTAGTGCAGGGAATGGCGCTTTAAAGCATTTTAACATCATACATCATATCGGTTTTATCTAAACTTTGCATATAACGCTATACCCTGCATCCTGCTGTCCTTTCATTGTTCTGTTCTTGGTATTAAAATGATATGTCTCGCTGGATTCAGTGGGTCAGACATTTAGGCTACATGCCTGAATAAAAGGGCTGGGAGGGACACAGCTTTCCAGTCACACATGTTTACTCACTGCCTGTAAGCAGTGTTTAATGTTTCCTTTATACAAGCTGTAGAGGAGGAGAACTGAATGGTGAAGGAGACATTCATATTAAAATAGCCCTCCCCCTTTTGCTGACTGAGTACAAGATGTTAAAAGTTAAAGGTACAATGGGTAATTTTCAGGAAATCCTTGTTTCATTGCTGACACCGGTGGCCGTTAAGTGAACTGCAGTTGGCATCCTGTTGCCTGTGCACATGGTTGCACAAGCGTTGGCCAGACGAGTGAACACGGCCAAACTGGGACCAAACACAGCCTCTGAGACCGACAGGGAATACAGTACAGATTTGATTTACAGGGGAACGACGAAGACACAGCGGGTTCAGGAGAGACCTGAGAGGAGCGAGAGGGAGGTCGGGCATCAGTCCACTTCTGGAGACCTGAGCGGAGGTTAGAGCGGGGTCAGCCACGACAAGCCAGAAGCCAAACCCAGCAGTAATATCTCCTCAGTACTGTATTCTCTGTGTGCGGCCTCGGAGGCTGTTGGTCCCGTTCTGGCTGTGTTCACTGGGAGACTGCTGAGCTAACTGAGCAACAGATAGCAGCAGACAGGCTTCACTAGATAAAACTTTTTCTGTCCTTACGTGGACTTTGTGTTGGACTCATGTTGTGGTGGGTGTCGGTCTTTTGTTGACGTTAGCAGCTTCCATTTCTAACCTAACGTTAGGTAGTGTTGCACATTGTTGGTGCTGTAGGGGGGCTGAGGGAAGGCAGGACACTCATCATATCTCTGTGTACAATCTGTTTACACATTGTATGGAGATGGAGTTGTCTCAGTAGTATTTGTGTGAACAGATCAGCAAGCTGTGTGTTAATGTGGAATCTGTGTAACACCTTACACAGAACAGAAGTCACAAAAATATTTCGCAAATATATAACGGATCTGCAAATACACAAAGAAATTCCACAAATGCAAAAAAATATCAGTGAATACATTAAATTCATTTACAAATAAATGAAAACCATTAGTGAATATCTTCCTGACATTTACAGCCTTCAAACAGGCATTTGTGGATCTCAATTCTACGCTTTACATTTTACACAGAACAAGTTTCTAAACAAACTTGGTGCCAGTCCGAACAAAAATCCACTTGTATCACTCTATTTTCCGATGGCATGTGATCCCCTGCATTTCAAAGTAAGAGCATCAGGGTGTACATATTTCTTGCTAGCTGGTTAGCCAGCTCATGAGGCTGTATGGCGGGAAGGAGCCAACAGGTGAGAGCTTCTGTCACTGCCTATTACCCAACCGGTCTCTGATGGTGTTAGCATTAACTCAACAAACCTGACATAGACCTACATGTACTTGTGAAGTGGCTAAACGGCCCTCATGTCCTTTGCTGAAACAGGTAGAGTAACTAGAAATAGACAAGGACACCCCAAATGGCAAAATACTGCTTTTAAATTATTATTATAGTAAGAAAATATGTAAATGATAACATTAGTGATGGCTTACTGGGGGACTGGAATAGAACACAGCATTCATTAATATCATTAATAATACCTGTGCACACACCTTTTCTTATTATGACAAGTCAAAATGTCTGCTGTAACTCAGAATCGGCTTACACGGTGGATATAATGCTTCCTATCCAGGCTACGACTTACAGTAGTTGTTCTTTTTTTTGACAAATAGCGAATATATAGCAGACCAGTAACAGTGTATTTTA